CTTATTATTCACAGAATAAATGATAGTACTCGAAGTAATTTTCTCACACCAAACTTTATTTTTTTATAAATTTTCATGAGGTCCTACAAGTCATCAAGCTGTAAAAAAATGCAGAGAAAAATTGTGAAAAACAATACTTGGATTAATAATGTATTTATTACATATAAAATAAAATGCTTTACATTCTTGTTGGGGAGATTTTTCATTTCTCGAGCAATTCTTCTGTTAAATTCCTCAACTTCACTAAAAAAAAATGCTGTTGTCAGAAATTGTGTTAAACATAAAAACTTAACAGCTTTTGTACCAAAAAAAAATGTAAACATACCTTGCGTGATAAATGGGGCCCTGGAGGAAGACATCTTCAGCCTCCTGCCAAGACAAGCCTTGTAACTCGGAAATGCCATGAGTTATGGCCTGTACAAACATACAGATAAACCAATTAATAAAATAAAACACACACTGCAGAACATAAGCATGCTCATGTACATACATGTTTTGTGATTACCTCTGGGAGGAGACATCCACAAATGAACTCCACCTCATCATTGAAGGTCAGCTGTGTTTTGGTTTTATTAAGAATTCCTCTGATGTAGTCACAAATGATTGACTGGGACTGCTCATTCTCAATGTAGACAGGCACATGAGAACGGGGTTTTAGTGGAAACCAATTTCACCTTTTCCCACCGAGTATATCCTTTGGGCCATAGAAGGAAATTATATTTCATATGTAAATGCACAAGTAATTAATTATATTTGGCAAATAATAGTTAAATTGTCACTTGACTATATTTAAGTCAACCATACTCAGAGTCTAGAGGAGTAATTTAAAGTGGAACCATCTATACCACCAAATGCTGCTCTGCTGATTTTGATGTGATAATCAAGTCCACTAATCTTTTGTCATTCCTTTCCCGATCTTGAACTGCTTGGACATGTGCCGGAAGATTGGATGTGGTTTTTCTTTTCACCCTAAAAAGGAGCAGAATCTTTCCATCCAAGACACTTCTTGCCTCCTCAGTCCAGAAAGCAAATCTGTGCCCATAGCTTTTAATAACAAGACAAGACAAAATCCATAATTACTGTGTAACGAGGAGACTGACACGGAGGGATCCATTATGCAGTATTTATTAATCACAACTTCACTCAAACACACAATATGCACCGGAGTGCACACACACACACATCCACAGTAGTAGTATGGGTATCAAGACTGATGATGAACAGACACAGAGTGAGTTACCAGGCATGAGTGGAAGGGAGTGAGCGAGAACCAGGATCCGTTATGCAGGCTTGGGTCAAGGGCAGGCAGCAAGGATCAGAGTCCGTATAACAGGCGTGGTTCGTGGGCAGGCAAAGAGAGAGTCAGAGTCCGTATAACAAGCGTGGGTCGTGGGCAGGCAGAAGGCGAAGCAAAGTAAGAGACAGGCTGGAGTCGTGCACAGGAGATCAGGCTGGAGATAATGCTCAGAAATGCTGGCCGGGGTTAAACAAGACTTCGCCCTGAACGAGTGTTTGAGTGCGGCTTATAAGAGGTACGTGGGTCATTAGCCAGATTCCAATCAGGTGTATGCGCAATCAGTGTAGATGGATTACGTAATGCTAAAAGTCCGGAGATGGTGGCCTCTGCTGGCCAGCGAGGGGAGTTACTGGGACCGAGTCGGTGACATACTGGTCACCGGTAAAAGAGATTTTAAGTATGTTTTGTTATTCATGTTACAAGTTGTTGTATTGACACAATATACATTTTTAATTTTACAGATTTACAAGAAAAATAAATAAATAAATACTGACATACCCATCAATTTGAAATTGTTCTATGAGTAGAAGGCACCACCACTGACGGATGATAGGTATATCCATCTGAAAGAAAGACTGTTTAGTCTGACAGTTAACCAACATGTTTTTGTTAATACATGATGTTGGGTGTGCTTGCAATAACCATGCCCCTTTTTTTAAAAGATATGTTGCTTAGAAGAAAGCAAGATAATATACACTAAAATAGTTACATTTTAACTATGATTAAAAAAGCACCAACAAAATAAAGTTACATAAATAATAAAATAATACCTCCTGGAATTGAAACCCAATGCCACACACCATTGAGAGGGTGTACTGAAAAGAGAGAAGCCACAGTCATTTACAATGTTTACAAAATCTTTAAATCAATTAACTCAATTTATATCTTACCATGAGTACAAAAACACCACAATCATTCCCTCTTGTCTGACGTGGCAAAGCCTAAAATAGGCAAAGCAAATCAATTTTATTTTAGAATAATGTACAAAATATTTAATTGTTGTAAAAGCCAAATAATAATTTTTTTTAAGTTGATTCCTCACTGGAAAATCATATCCAGTCTTTTCAGACCATGTCCCATGATCCACTTGGTAAGCAATTTTCCTGTAAACAAAACATAGTAGTAATACTAACAATTACAGCTCACCTCAACTCTAGAACACCATGCATAAAAAAGGCTAGATGAACATAGCCAGAAGTTTAAGAAACGGCTATAGTAACGTAGCCAAAAGTGGCAGAACTATAATACACGGTTAGGAAATAAATAGAAATGTCTATAGGAACGTAGCCATATATCACATAAAGGCTGAAACGTCTTAGTTTATTGATAGACCTAAAAATTGCCCTGTATTCCTCATCTCCAAATCCTGATTCCTGCTCTGTGTACAGAGAGTCTAAAAACACCATCTCTCTTCGAAGCGGCATCATTATCTACAATGTTAAAGGTGTAAAAATATTTAATTTGAACATTATTGCTTCTTCCAAGATTTTTCAGTGTTTTATTTTAGAAACACACACATTGCAATACCAATTAATGTATGCACTAGACATTTCAATATTTTCTTACAAAGACAACAAAGTGGTCTGGTCCATTGGCATTTGTCCATGCTGGAAAGGCTAACAGGTCTTTCAAGTCTGCATCTTCCTAGAATTGATCAGGACAGTTATGTCGTTTAATTTAGTTTGTACTTCTCACACAGTAAATACAGTACATACACGCACCGGTAGTCCAGTAACAATGTTGTTAGGAGTTTCTTTCCACACAGGGACAACATAAAAGTCCTCAATGTATATGTCCTTGCCCTACATGAATAAAAAGAAACTGTTGACAATGACATGAACATTTTCACACAGTTTAGAAAATTTGGATCAAGTTAAAACAATCCATATAAATATTGTTTTATAGTACATACAATTTGTCGAGCCATTTCACAAATAAGCTTCATGCAGGTGTTTCCAATCTGCAATAAATACTTTGATAAGTCAATGTTTTTAATAAAAAAAAAGTTATAATAAAAAAACAGACTGCTTACATGGGAGTCCATGTCCCTCAACAATCCAAGGCTCCAAAATTCTTCTCGAATAAGGCACACTTGCCCCTCCTTCACAATTATTTCACTGCCAGGGCGATTTCGGTCCAGCACATAATCAAGCTGTAATAATAATAACAATAAATATGTGTGTGTGTGTGTGTGTGTGTGTTAATACCGTCCAATACCCGGGCCCCTGCAAATGACTGAAAACTGGCTCAATTTGAACAGGGATTTTAAGAGACAGGAACAACACAGAGCTTAATGCATGCCTAGAAAGCTTAGAAAAAATGTGATACAATGGTGTTAATTTGATCACTGTAGCATTAAGACTCTTAAAGTTATGATCAAAATACTACTAGCATAAAAAGGCCCTTTCCATAAATGAACTTGAAAAGCACTTTAAAGGTCAGGAACAAGATACAGCTAAAAGCTTTACATTTCTGGAAAGAAGAGGAAATTTGCAGTTTATTGATGTGAGTAGATTGACTGGGGCACCAAAAATGGCAAAGTTATGAATTTTTTAATTCGGGCCAAATAATGTGCTCCATGCAAATGGCAAAATTCAGCCAATTTGAATGGGGATTTCTAAAGATAGCAACATCCTACAGCTTCATGCCATACCTTGATGGAAAGCTCAGAGAAAGTGCTAAACAATGGTGTACATTACTTAATGGTGTATATAACTGAAAACTGGCTCAATTTGAACAGGGATTTTAAGAGACAGGAACATGTGCTTGGAGTGCCTGTTTGATGGTAGCTTTTTTTGGTAACTCAGCATGCCGGAGTCTCGTTCGTTATCGGAATGCACCTAACAAATCGCTCCACCAACTAAGGCCGGGTGAGGTTTCCCGTGTTGAGTCAAATTAAGCCGCAGGCTCCACTTCTGGTGGTGCCCTTCCGTCAATTCCTTTAAGTTTCAGCTTTGCAACCATACTCCCCCCGGAACCCAAAGACTTGTGGTTTCCCGCACGCTGCCCGGCGGGTCATGGGAATAACGCCGCCGGATAGCGGGTCGGCATCGTTTACGGTCGGAACTACGACGGTATCTGATCGTCTTCGAACCTCCGACTTTCGTTCTTGATTAATAAAAACATTCTTGGCAAATGCTTTCGCTTTCGTCCGTCTTGCGCCGGTCCAAGAATTTCACCTCTAGCGGCGCAATACGAATGCCCCCGGCCGTCCCTCTCAATCATGGCCCCGGGTTCCAGAAACCCACAAAATAGAACCGGAGTCCTATTCGATTATTCCTAGCTGCGGTATTCAGTGGCGGCTGGGCGGCCTGCTTTGAACACTCTAATTTTTTCAAAGTAAACGCTCCGGGCCCCGAGGTACCGGACACCCAGCTAAGGGCATCCGGGGGGCGCCGGGAGGCAGGGTCCGGGACAGGCGGTGGCTCGCCTCGCAGCGGACCGCCAGCCCACTCCCGAGATCCAACTACGAGCTTTTTAACTGCAGCAACTTTAATATACGCTATTGGAGCTGGAATTACCGCGGCTGCTGGCACCAGACATGCCCTCCAATGGGTCCTCGCCCATGGGTTTAGGATACGCTCATTCCAATTACAGGGCCTCGAAAGAGACCTGTATTGTTCTTATTCAGTGTCTGTTTAAAAGTGGGAATTTTTTTTATAACTCAGGGAAGATTTAAGCTATTTTTATATAACCAACTTCATTAAAAAACACATATTCTTAGCTTTCTAATGAGCCCACATGAGCTACTGTATCTTGTTCAGAAATATTAAGGTCACAAGGGTAAATTGGCCAAAAGTTAGCGCACCACTACTGTTGAAATAATAAAAATTCAACTCAACAGATAACCCAAATTTTACATTTTCAGAAGTAGAAATATTGGATAAATAGATAAAAGCTGTAAGTGTTTTGCTTCTCACTGAGTACTCTGACACTATAGAATGTAAAATTAAGAATAAACACACACATGTTGGTCATACTAATAAAATTTGACTTTTTTTTTTGCGCATGTGCTTAGAGCGCCTGCTTGATGGTAGCTTTTTTTTGATAACTCAGGAAGGATTTAAGCTATTTTTAAATAACCAACATCATTAAAAAACACATATTCTTAGCTTTCTCATGAGCCCACATGAGCTACTGTATCTTGTTCAGAAATATTAAGGTCACAAGGTTAAATTGGCCAAAAGTCAGCGCACCACTACTGTTGAAATAATAAAAATTCAACTCGACAGATAACCCAAATTTAACATTTTCAGAAGTAGAAATACTGGATAAATGGATGAAAGTTGTGGGTTTTCTGCTACTGTTTTCAATTTCTTAATTTTACCATAAGGACAACCAAAGTTATGATTTTTTTGTCTTTTCTTTTGTAATGAATTGAATAATGATTATTTATGCAATGCCATTTAAATCAAGTTTTTTCTAAGCAAGAACAGGTTTTTTTTCAGTTATTAATCTTAAATGTATTGAAAATTTATAGTCGTTTTTTAAAGTGTATGTTAATTGTATATTGTTGCATTTTGTTTAAGATTGTATATAGTTATTATTGTATTTTTTATATTATTATGTACAGACTTGGACAAAGCCAACAAACACAAGGCAAAGCAAAACGTCTTGCCAAATTTTAAGGTAAAAATGTTCTTTACTAACGCCTTGTACTCCAATGCTTATAACCTCAGAAATTAAGCATATAGTTCATTGTGTATATAGTTATGATCATGTTTAGTATTTTATTTTTGTCTTATTATTTTGTTATCTTTTTAGTAGTGTGTATTTTATGTAGATTTTTTGTTGAATATTAATATTATATGTATTCATTTAAATTAATTAATTTATTGAAGGAGTAAATCTGTTTTAGGGATGTGCAAAAACCTCATTGTTTTGTTGTTTTGGCCATTCTACAAGTCACTACAAAACCGACCAATCCAGTTAGGCCCACTTTTTTTATTATATCAATTTTTATGTATATATGTTTCCCAGACAGCACACATACGTTGGGCTGACGTCGTGCCGATTTTCAAAATTCCATCGGCGCGATGTCGCTCAGGGAGCGTTTGCTAATTGGCAAAATGTCGCCGCGACGTCGGCAAATGATCGGAAACGCTGTCCGGCCGACGTTAGGACGACGCAACCGGAAATGCCGTCCGCTCCGCGGAGGCGCTGTTCTCAGGCGTTTTGCTCATACTTATGGACCACTAGCTGCAGCAGCAGCTTATTTATAATAAACATGACACACCACTCTCAATAACAGTTGAAGATTTATTAATATTTTTCACAAACATACAAATAGATTAACATACTTTTATCACACATAATCATGTTTTACTACGTTTAAAACAAAACCAACAAGTTGTACTATAACCATGGCTGAAATACTGTGCAATAAAGATTTTAAATACAAAGTCCATTGCAGCATTTACATTAGGACCATAGGAATATTTACAAGTACTTCAAAACATGTACACTAAGGGTCACTATAGTTTACTATAGTAAAAACACAAATAACTTGTGTAAGCACATGTTATAATGCTTATAATTTCTTAAATAGTGTTAAAGAAAATGCATGTTTCCAAGACTATAATCTTAAAATACAAGAAAATACCAGTCATGTGTTCAGTATCCAAAAGACTTTCTTCAGGGAGTTACAATAATAAAAGAGGACACAAACACAAAATAAATACCAAGCAAACAATATTTACAGTAGTAAATAAAATCATATAAATTAAAATAATTTGATAAAATCTTATTAAAGTCTGTAGACAATTTTTTTTACAATTTTTTTATAAATGGCATTCAACAATTTGCTATGTCCTCTGAACTAAAAACACATCAATAATATAAAATAACAATACTTTCTCAGAGATAACCAGTTTTTTTAAGCAAACTCTAATGCACGACACAAAACAGATTTTGTCATATATATATATATATATATATATATATATATATATATATATATATATATATATATATATATATAAAATCCCTTAATTTCTGTTTAACGGAAATATTTTTAACACATTTCTAATCACAATAGTTTTAATAACTCTTTTCTAATAAATGAGTAAATAATATTTGACTAGATATTCTTCAAGACACTTCTATACAGCCTAAAGTGACATTTAAAGGCTTAACTAGGTTAATTTGCTTAACTAGGCAGGTTAGGGTAATTAGCCAAGTTATTGTATATCGATGGTTTGTTC